GGAAGGCATACTGAAATCAAAGGGGGGAAATGTAGATTTTTGTATAATAATAATATAGGACACATATGTCCCAAGTGGACTCTGATGGTAGAATTGGTGGCATGAGGACAGTTTTTTCAGATTCATGCAGTTACATAGGTTTCATTAGGCGGGGGTAAGCTGGTCACCTAGTGATAAGAAGCTGTGCTATAATTCCAAAGGCAGGTAGTTCAAATCTGCCACATGTTCTGTGGAAGAATGAGCAGTCTCTTCCCATGTGATTTACTGCCTCTGGAAAATCCACTGGTGGGTCAGCTGTGGGTTGGTTCTGACTTGATGTCACACCACCACCAGACCAGGGTAGCACATCTCTAACTGAGATAGCGCAACTTTTCAAAAACTTCAGAGGCAAAAAAATGTTGGTTGGTAACATGTGCTGAGTTACAAAAGGGATAAGTTATTGTAGGCCAAATGCCTAGAGGAAGTAACAGATCGTGCGTTCCTGGATATAAACTGAGTCTTAATACTGCAAATATTTGATGTTACAGAATTAAATTTGGAAAGTTTTCTGTTGCAGTACTATACGTGTTTCCTTTTTGTCTAACGTGTCTATAAACCATAAAACTGAAAAGACCCTTTATTTTTGTTTTTAATTTTTATTTTATTTTGTGTGTGTGTACCGTCAAGTCGGATCTGACTGGTACAGGAGGAGATTGCCCCTCCTTCTCTAGCAGAGCATCTGGTGGATTCAAATCACATACCTCTGGGATTGCAGTGCAGCTTTTTGCCACTAGGCCACCAGAGCTCCCTAAGACTCTTTATTTTTAAAAGCAGCAGGTTTTCATGATTATGGAATCAGCACTTAAAACTATGGGTTTTAGCCCAGCTTCAAAAAATCATCTCCCCACCTCCCTCTTTTTTAAAAAGAATGAGAATATAATTCTGTCCTATCTCAAGTCTCTCAAGTGTTCTGCTGCTTAGTTATAACCATTTATGAAAATGTTTTGAGCCTTCCCGTGCAGATGGAGAAAAGGACATTAAATTTCACTTAGGTTTGTACTGTTTGGTTTCTTTTCTTACAGCAGAAGGTGATTTACTACCTCTGCATTTTATTGAAGGATCCAGTAGAACCACATGGGATATCTCAAGTAGTACCTGTCTTCCAGGTGAGCAAAGAATATTTTTCATAAGTTTCCTTTCTCCACAGAAATCCTCTACTTCTTACCTACCTCCCCTGCATTATTTATTATATAAACTTTTGTTGTCAGTGTTTAAGGAAATCTGACAGCTATTTTCAGTGAGAGGTAGACTTTTAATTCTTTTAGAAGTTCCTCTCTAAAGAAATACTAGACTATCAAAAATAATGTGAGTACATATTAATTTTAGAGGGAAAAAATTAAGTATGCAACTTCTGCCTAGAAATCACCTTTCATCTACTTTGACTCTCAAGGTACCATTATAGATTTTTCCCCTAGATGTCATTCATCTGTACAAATTATTATTTTAACTTTTGCTTTTAAAAGAAATTGCTTTCCTTTTACCAAAAAGCTACATGTACAAACAAGATTATAATAAATTATTTTATAGGTACAAATGTATATATTTAACTTGGTCTCACTGCCTTTTGTTTCCTCATGGAAGATTTGAGAGCTGAACTTAAAAAAAAAGTTTAAAGTTATTACAGATTTTAAAGAGTAACCTTATAGGGTTTTTTTTAATGTTTGAGATTGGGCTTCATATGTTGGACAACTTTACTTTGCTGTTGGGCATTTGTACTTGATTTACTACAGTCTTAGCTGGCAGTAGACTCAGCTACTTTTAATATGTAGGTTATAGGCATTTCATAATGATTACATTTGTATCTCTTTAAATAATAAATTCCTCATATTTCAAATATTTCAGTATTTTATTTTAAACTATCCACCTCCACTATTAGTCAAGTAGAATCTAGATTTTAATTATGTATTTGTAATAACCCTTTATATATTTAGGGTGGCAAACCTTTATTAAATATTCTTTCCACCTGTATTTTTACTATTCTGTGCCTTTTTAAAAAAAAATTGGTTGTATAAAATTTTTCTTTCATAAAGTATTTTTAATATTTACATATTAAACTGTCCTTCTGGTCTTAAGAGGTTTCTATCTCAGCTTGTGATGCTTTCTGAGAGGGTCCACACTTACTGTTTCTCTTGCTTACTTGTAGAGGTCATGAAATTTCAATTTAAAAATTGTCTTTTAAGCTCCTGCCTCACACAATCCACAGGCTAGGCTCCAGGCAGTTTTGGGTTCCTCCCAGCAGGGTTCTTTGAGGCTTGAACTTCTTGCTCTTTAAGCTCACATCTCTGCCATTTATACCCCTTGATGAGAGATTGCGTTTGCACATGGATACAGCATCACTGAGCACTCTCTTATGTTCATCTTGACTCTACATTTCTCCCCTTTGGAATTCAGAGTGCCAAGCCCCGGCTGGACTGCTTGATTGAAGTGTACAGGAGCTGCCAGGAGATCCTGGCACAACAGAAACCCACATCAACAAGCCCATGAGCCCCAGCATTCAAAAGGCCAGTATTGTCTTCTATGAGAGATGACTCTTAAGCCATAGTGGCTGGTTTATTTTCTGTATTCTAAACCATCAGCTGGACACAGTCCTAGGAACCAGTGTGGATGCTGGATGGATCTCGGAGCTCTAGAGCAGGTGACTGAAAGCATAACTCATTGTGTGATGTTGAGCAACAAATTTCTGTGTATTTTACCATTTCCCTTGTAAGGCTTTGTATACTTTATCAGCTAAAGGGAAACTTTAAGAAAGAATATGTTGGAAAATACCAGCCAAGAGCACTTTTGTGAAAATCTTAAGCACACTCCATTTTTTGTTGAAATTTTTGCAGCAGTATAGGGGGATATTAATACCAGATGTCTTAAAAGTTATTTTTTTTTTTTAAAAGAAAGCAGCAAGCCCTTTAGGTATTGGTTAACAGGAAGAAATGTCCTACACAAGACTATTATTCTGTTTACCCAGCTCCTGTGTTTTGTACAGGGTTAATTTATAATTCTTAATAAACAAATCTCCTTCCAAAACATACACAGTAATTGCCTCGTTCACTGACAACTGCTTTTTATTGATAAACACGATCATGGCATTTCAGTCATGGGAGTCAAACACATGTGTACTTTATTTTCACTCAGCTTTATTTATAGTTTCAAAAGCTTTTGTCAAGAGTAATGAGGCAAAAGGTCAGACAGAAGTTTGACTTGGGTTTCCCGATATGGGACTTTTGTGTTAAAGGAGAAGCAAGAGAGATATGGAAGCCTCTGTTTATAAGGTAACGTCTATAAAATTAATAGAGGATTCCTGAAAGGTTAGAGGGTAGAAGAAATGACAGTCTTAAGTTCAGTGTGGAAATAATCCCATTCTTACTTATTCTTTCTTTGGAATCCTAATTTATTTCTTTAACCTTTCCTCCCCAGTAGTTAGTATTATCCTTTTTGGTCCTAGAGGCAGCTAAGACATTATAAAAGCAGAGCTGTCTCATCTGTGTTAGGCCAACGCTGGAGGAGTTAACCAGGAACATGTGATATATGTGAGATGAGACTTGTTTGAGGTAGAAACATCTCAACTAGATCTCTAAATCTTTGTGGGAAAAGTGAGAAGTGTGAGAAAGGCAGTAAAACTGCCCGTCTTAGAAAGTCAAGTTCATTCATAAGAGGCTGACTGATTTGCTTTTTAAAATCATGTGTGTCGGTTTAAACAGTAAAGGAAGAGAAGCTGAGATGTTTAGATAAACTAGTGCTGGTCATCTTGCTTTTGCAGTGTGTAGGAAGTACACATTGTTAGGGTTTTAAAGGCTTCATTCTTGGATGCTACTGCTAAACCCAGGCAGCTTTCAGCACTTTACTGACAAATGGCAAGACTACCTTAGAGCTATGAAATAAAATTAATTTTCTTACGTGTTGGAAAAATCAGAGTGTGAACTCTTTCGTTTCATATTTCATTTTTTTAAGTAGGTCAAGGTTGAGACAACTGCTCCCTGCCCTGCTCTTGATTAGGTCTAGAGGGGGGATGTTGGTGTCATCACAACGGCAAAAAGTAAATTTTTTTTCTTTTCTCTCACGCTACTAGGCTAGAACAAATACCACATGTATGCCCTCTGTCCTCAAATTAATTCCTAGTGAGAGTACACCAGAAGTCTTGGGGGTTTCAGAATCATGAGCTTGAAGAAAGGCTCTCTGTGTCCTTGATTCTCAGAGCAGCAAAGAGCTAGGTACATGTGCTTAGTCTTTCAAAGAATGGGGAACAAAGTAATTACCATATCATCCTACAGTAGTGAGCACAGCCTTAACTATCCAGTTGCTAAAAATGAGAGGGCAAGGTCAGACTTGACCACTGTCTGCTTTTGCTTGAACAGTGTGTAAGAAAGCAATTTCGGTCTTAGCAGGGATAGAGTGTTCTGCAAAGATGGAACTGCTCCCCTAAAAGGGGAACTGTAATTGTCTACTTGCCAGTAGAGAGGAAGGCTGAGTCTCTTTGGGTACAGCCTTGCCAATACTTTTCCCACCTGGGAAGGAAGTCCAGTTTTACTAAGTTCTAGGCTTTGAAAGTTTAGTCCTATCCTGTTTGGGGATGTTGGGAAAGCTTCAAGTATAAATCCCCAGATAAGGACTATATACATTGCAAAAAGTATTAGCGTCCCTGAGAGTACCTGAGTGTACACACTGATGCCCCCAGGTACAGTGGACCATTCCCTGTCTATATCTAGAATGTAGCAGCCAGAGTTCAGTATTATTGTGGTAAAAATATGAGTGGTTTTCATCACTGGGCATGGATTTTAAAAGTTGGGCTCTGAAACATTATAAGGCACCTGGAGAATAAAAGCTTCTTGGATACGGAAATAAATATTTCAGAGAGTAAACCAAGGAGTGGTAAGGTACAGTTAGTCTATCACAGTAGTTTCAGGTACCCTAGGATATATAGCTAATCCTACAGATACCAGGTTTAGGAGAAGGGGGAGTAAGGGAAATCTTCACAGTAATGTTGGCCCCTTTGTAGCTTGTGGAATAGAAGCAAAGAACTGTCGTCGATCCATCTCCCTGGGTTGGTGGGAAGCAGGAGGGTTGGTTGGTGGGTTCACAGTTGTAGAACAGTGGTTCATGTAGCTGGCCATGACAAAGGTAGCCTCGGCAATCTAAGAGGACAGAAACACAGAAATTGAATTGCCCCTGGCTTGAATCCTAGTGATTACCTAACCCTTGTGTACTTGAGCGCCATCATTTCTAAACTACCCTCCTAGGTAAGAATGCTCAAAGAGGGCCACTGGTGTTCTTGCAGAGGTTCCTGCAGAGGTGCATGGAAATGGGTATCCATTGGTCTGGAGGTGCTCTGAGATGCAGGGCCCTCCCAAGAAAAGAAGGACCAGCTCCTCTTTGATTGCCTGTGAAAGGGGGCTTTTTGGATTAAGGAGTCTGTATATCCTCTCCTATGGTAGAAGAGGAGGTGTGGCAAATTCCAAACTTAGATTTTAAGTAGAGGCAACAGGAAAATGTGGAATAGAATTTTAAATTCTCACAGACTTCAGATTTTCTGGATCAATAGAGAGCGAATGAACCCCTAAAACTATTGCCTAAAATAATCTTTAAATCTTCTATCTTTAAGGTCATCTTAAAATGGAACAGTTTAATCAGTAAAAAGGGTCTGCCTTGAGGACTAGGTTCTTTTAAAAACTGCCCACATGGGACCAAATTGACCATGTAAAAATGAGGTAGAAACCTTAGGGGGCAATAGTTTGCACTAATGAGAGAGAAGCAACCTAGAAAAGGAAGATGAGAACGGCTGCACAGTTTGGAGAATGTCATCAGTGTCACAAAATGGTACATGCAGAATTTAATGGGTGTCTTTTGCTATTTATGTTAACAAAAATGATACAATTTAGAAGAAGTAATTTTAAAGTAGAGGGAAGAGAAGAGTAAACAAAGTTTGAGTTCGTGAACCTTTGTTATTTTTGCTATGATGGTATTTTTCTATAAAATTTTCATTATTTCCAGCATTTCCTGTATCAAGCCCTAAGGAAGGGGGAACACCATTAAGACTGTTCCATTTTGTGGTTAGTATTGGTGATAGCAGAATTCAAAATTGGGTAAAAATATTCTTCAACGTGAAGCTCATCTGGCCCTAGGACCTGTTACAAGCAAGTAAAAAGGAAATGAATGGGCTTGAAAGAACTAACAGTATTAAAATCAAAAGCTTAGTAGCTGGATCAGAGTTCCTCCCTTATTAGCCAACCCTCTCCACCTTCATCTGAGTAGTGACTAAATTCCACCTGAACCCTTTGGAGTACTTACTGTGTTGTTAGGTACAATTGATCCAGCTCTGACTCAGCAGTGCCAATCTTCCTTTTTTCCGTTGACCCTCTACTTTACCAAGCCTGATGTCTGTCTTCAGCGACTGGCCCCTCCTGATCACATTCTAAATTATGTCAGGCAAAGTCTCACCATCCTTCTAAGACACATTCTGGTTGTATTTCTTCCAAGACAGGTAAGATTGTTCTTTTGCAGTTCATGGTATAGTCAATATTCTTCAACACAGTCTAAAAGCATCAGTTCTTTGTTTTTCCTTTTGGATTGTCCAGTTTTCACATGTATATGAAGCTACTGAAATACCATGGCTTAGAGGCCCCTTCTGATAAATTGTTAAAACCTCGGTTTCTAGTGTATTATTATAACCCTGGTTTCCTCTCTAAGCTCCAAGCTCACCATCTCATGTCAATAGAGTAAAATGTTTTGCAGCTGTCAGACCCACCTTAGGAGCAGCCATACGGAAGATGAGCTTTTCAATGTGACCTTTCCCAGAACTTTGGTCTGGACTGGCTCTGATGACAAGCATGAAGTCATCCCGATAGCCACCAAAGGTTGTCACTGAAGAGTAGGGGTAAGTGATGTGCACTTGCTGTGAAAAGGAAGGGTAAGTTAGTCTGGAAGAACTTTCCACCTGGCTCCTAACCTAGGAACCCTCATTTCTTTTTTAAAATTATTAATTTTAATGAAAATTTACAGAGACTTTGGCTTTCCATTCATTCATTGTTGCACTTTTCTTCCTGCCCTCCCAAGAACCCTCATTGCTAAGGACAGGTAGCCTTAATTAGGAAAGGAAAACTCTGAATTGGTCACAACTTGGGAGATCTACAGCTAGAGTATCTATAAGCTGTATCTAGATTCTACAGGACAGCCATGCTTAGGAGATAGCATGCTATGGTCACTCAGCTCAATTGAGAAGTTAAAAAAACACAGTGTATAGGAGAAGATGGATTAGGGTGTTGGCCTTTGTTCTTCTGTACCATAGTATTGTGGTCCAGGATGCTGACACCATCCTCATTCACAGCAATCCACACCAGACTGTTCTCCTTAGAAGACATCTGGGCAGGCTGGGAAACAAAAATCTCATTAGACATATCTAGATCCTAGGGATTCTGAACTGTAAGAGCTTTCTGAGGAAGACTATATTCAAGGTTTGGCTTAATAATGTCAAATTTTTTCTTTTTGGTGGTTGTTAGTCATGTCGAGTCAGAAATGACTCAGCAGCTGGTTTTCAGAGGCTGTAAATTGCATGGGAAGAGACTGCCAGTCCTTCTTGCACAGAGCACCTGATGGATTTGCACCACCTGCCTTGAATGCACAGCTCTAATCATTAGGCCACCAAAGACTCCCGATGCTCATCTTGGAGAATCAGAAAATATTGTTTACTGGAGTAAACAGAAAAGACTGCTAATGGCAGGAAGCACCTGGTCTTGGAGCTGAAGTCACCTAGCCAATTTGGTAGGGAAATGAGCTCTAGACATATCTATCCTGACATACAGTGCTGGCTGGGAAACTCTCTGCTACTGAGTAAGAGGCCAGCTTTGCTGCCTTGTTATGAGCATGGGTTTTCCTTCTAGTTCTCTAAGACAGTATTTACCCTAGCCGTCTCCCAATTGTAATGCATTTTGCTTCAACCATTTTCTTAGAAACTAAACGAGCTCTGATGGTGCAGTCTGTAGGGAGTTGCACTGCTAACCCAAAGGCAATGCTTCTCTGAGAGTCTGAATCCACCAAGAGTTCCACAGGATAAAGATAGGCAGTGGCCTCTCATGTGATGTAAAGCTTCTGAAAACTTGGCTAGAGGGTCAGCTGGGAATCAGTTACAACTCGATGGCAGAGAGCTTTTTGAGTAAAAGAAAAAGGAAAGCAAGAATGCAGTTTTCTATGCTTTAGGCCCTACCAGTGAGAAAAATGGCTACTTGGTGGGCATTTCCTAAAATCACTAATTTTCATAGCCAGGGCTGCAAGGTAATCCCGGAGATTTCCTATCTCTTACAGAGGCTGGGGAGAGGAATGGACACATCATCTTTATTAGAAACTTCTCCAGACCTCTCAACCAAGCAACTCATTTCTTTTTCCTCTGTAGCATTTGCAGACTTTATAATTTGTAAAAGATCTACATACTATGATTAAATATTTCTTCCCTACTAGATGGGAAGCTCCACAAAGGCCAAAACTGATTTGCTTCTCTTGTAACACTAGCACAGTTCTCAAGTCAAGGTAGGTTGAATGTATGAATGTCCAGTGTCTCATCTGTCGCATCATAAGGAGAATCATTGAAGATGATAACCTCTGTGTTTATGCATAAAGTTCATGTGAAGCAGGTACTGAGGGAAAGTTCCATTTGAAATTATTGTTGGTTACCTGACAGATAAAAATACCCATTGCCTGATTAGTTTGATTTCCTTATATGTATTGTAAAACCATCAGAAATTTGGTGGTGGTGGTGGTTGTGTGCTGTCAAGTTGGAATCAACTCAACAACCAACCCTCCCAAGGGTTTTTATAGGCAGTAAATCATACAAGGGAAGATTGTCCACCCTTCTCTTGCAGAGAACTGGTAGATTCGAACCTAATACCTCTGAGATTGCAGCACAGCTTCTTACCATTAGGCTACCTATTTATTCTGTCACCTAAGCTTTTTAAAAAAATAAAAGCACATGTAAAGATCCTAAATCTAAACCCTTCTGTATGAATTAGTTGAGCCATTTTTTAATCAAATATGGATAATTTTGGTAATATTGACAAAGATGTTAACAAAGGAAAGATGAGGATTGTTTCTGTGCCGTTGAAAACTGCTCAGAACTAATAATTCTGGTCTGAAAGCAATGAATCTCAGCCCTGCCATGGATCTTAGAAATGGGTGGAGAAGTAGTGACCCCTGGTGGTAGTCACTGTCGAGGCAAGAGCTGCAAACAGGACTGGCTTAAACAAAGTCATGTAGAGTCAAGAAGTTCCAGGAGAAATTGAAAGCATTTGTGAGGGTATGGACTGCACCTTTCACTGGTCACTACAGGTACTTACTTGAGCAGTAAAAAGTTTAGCACCAAAGAAAGGCCATTTCCGGGCCACAGTCAGATAGATGCGAATGCACTCAGGAGGGGAGCAGCCTTGCAGTGCTGCCCACTTTGAGGTCAGCATATCTGCCAGGTGCCTATTTTAGATGGATAGAGAGAAATGGTATCAGTGACGTGTCAGTGTGTTTACAGTGCAGCTCATCCTCTCCCACAGTGACACCCTTCCAGACGTTGTGGTTTACCTCAGCTGTTCAGCAGGGGCCCCATGTCTATAGCGTCTTGGGTAAAACTTGTCTAGGACCTGCTGGAGGAGATGCTGAGCCTTGGCAGGAGGTGCGTTCCCAGAGCCTGGCAGGATAGGTCTCACCAAGTCCCCATATTCTACCTAGGGTAGAGGCACATGGGGAGAGCAGTCAAGAAACTACAGGTGGGGGAGGGGAGGGGCTGCTCAAAATTTACCACTACTTCGTTACTGTATTGGATTGGTAGAGTGTGAATGGATATGAAAAACACCTGTGACCTGATCCTTTATCTTGAATTTCACAGATAAGAGGATCTTAGAATATTAGAAATTGCCTAGATCAACTCTGATTATGTAGCTGAGCTTAAGTATAGATGCCTAGAGATACCAGTTAATCTGTGGAAGATAATGGGGAAAATGTGGATATTCTGAATCCAAAAAAATATGGAAAGATGAGATTCGGGAGTGAAGGTGCTATAGATACTAATGTTCCAAGTGTGGCCACTGTAGTTGGAAAGCTTGCCCAGCTCACTTCCATTTACCAGCTTTGTGACCTTGACCAAGTACTTAAGTTCTGATATAATACACGCAAAATGGTTAACAAAGGCTTACTATATTCAGTAACTGTTTATTATTACAGACCTCAGCTGTTAACCATTTCTCTTTCAATATGTTGGTCTAGACTCTCTTAAGAGAACCACAAAGGTGTTCTAGATACCTTTGGCAAGACAGCCTCCTAAAAGTAACAAGGAGTCCAACTGTGAGTTCCTCTTCCTGTTCTACTTACAGGTGTGACAGTTTACAAATATTGCATGCATGCTCTTAACTTGATATTTAGAAACCTCTGTGGGGGTAGGCATGGATGTATATAGAGAATACAGATACATCCATACTCTATAAAATTTAGAGGATAAATAGAGAAGGAAATGAAGGCATAGGAAAATAATTTCCCCAGGATCTCACAGCCAGAATGTAGCTCAGAGTGAGGTGCAGATCTCTGGATTACAAGTCCAGTGTTCTCCTTTTAGACTGTATCTGCAGTGAGTCAGTTTCTCTTCCTAGTTGCAGAGACAACAGTGTTGCCCTTGAGCCACAGGAACTGTATGCATCCCTGGGTTTCACGCTGCATGGTGCATTCTCAAGAGTCCAGAGTTGGCGACCTGACACTTTGATTCCTGAACAGAGACTTACCTGAGCCATTAGGGCAGCCATCTCAAGAGCCAGTTCTTTGTTGACTGGAAACCTCCCTGCTACTATCTCTGCACTAATCTGGGAGGCAAGCAGCAGCCGTTCTCGCTCAGTCTCCCCTTTGACTTGACTCCGAAAGTATAATCTACAAAGAAGAGAATGAGAAGAGGCAGGACTCAGCTGGGCTCCCAAACTGGGGCAAGGCTCTCTCAGGATCTGTTTATCTACATTTTTAGAAAAAGAAACTACTTTTTTATACCATTTGTGTGCCTGCCTTTTTTTATTACCTCCAGAAGGAATTTGACCAAGTATGACACAGAGCAAGGAGCTCTGGTGACTTAGTCTATAGAGATCAGCTCTGGTAAACGCAAAGGCCACACCTCTGGCAGTTAGAATCCACTGGCTCAGTGGGAAAAAGATGGACAGTTTGCTCCTGTGCAATTTAAACTCTGAAAAACCCAACTGACGGTCAGCTATGAGTTGGTTCCAATGACAGTTAGTAATGAATATGACACAGCAAACACAGGACCAGGGCCATGTTTCATAACAGTAGCATGTGGTAAGTTGTGATTATATATATCACTGGCCTTACTGGATTTGGTGAGAAGAATATGGTGCTGGAAGTCATATCTTATGAGAGAATTGGATGAATTAAGATTCCAGTTGACCAATGGAAATTATTTGCCTGCATATCTATCTGGGTCAGACATTTCTTGATGGAGACTCGTGCTAATTTGTCAGAAAGCCTGAGCTGCCCAGGGTCTCAGATAGCATCATGAACAGAACTAGTCTGGTTCCAATAATGAATGTCCAGCAATGGTATGCTTGCTTGTGAGCCCATTTGCCTGTCTGAGACAGGCTGCATATTTGGGGTGGGGCTGAACTGGTACCCTAGTACAGCACTTGGTTCCACTCTCAGTGCTCAGTACCTGTTCTTATACAGCAGCTTCACAATGCGTGTGCCACCCTCGGACTTCCCAGGATGCAGCTCCTTCAGGGCTTGTTCCCACTTGGAGATGGCATCACAGATCTTGAGGAGGCAAAAATGTAAAGTCAAGACAAGCCTGTGAAGGGGGACGCCAGATCCAGCCAGAGCTGAACTATAACAGAGCTGAGTGCTTCAGAAAGCAGACCAATGGGACCTGCATTCCTGGGCCCTGAAGAATATATAACTATACACATAACGAACAGATGGAGGTAGAAGGAGCCCTCTACATGACATGGTCTGAGTAGCAAAGGAAGAAATGCTGCCTTCCCTAGGAACACAGGCCCTTCCTTCTCTGTTCCCCTTCTCACAGTCAAAAAACCATGACCTCCAGTCACTGGTTTCATTTCCACATCACCAATTGCTGTTCTGCAAACATAGGCCTACTGTGTCTTACAAGTGATGGCAAATTCACAAAGAGGACATGTGGCATAGTTACAAGAAGTGGTAAAGGAAGCAGGTGATGTTAGGTGCGTCATCTGCAACACAGTGACCCTATGCACAATAGCTCTGAACTCTGCCCTGTCTTGAGCCAATCTGTCTCTGACACACCTACACTCATTACCCCAGTCACTGTGTCAGTCCAGCTCATCCAGGGTCTTCCTCGCCTGTGCTGTCCCTCCACCCTTCCAAGCATGATGTCTTTCTCCAAAGACTGGTCTCTCCTGGCCACATGCCCAAAGTTTGTGAGCCAAGAGACAGAGCTTCAAAATCCTTGCCTCCAAAGAGCAACTTGGTTTCACCCCCTTCAGGACAGACCTGTTTGTTCTCTTGGCAGTCCATGGTATGTTCAGTACTGTTCTCTAGCACCACAACACGGCATCAATAGTAGTCATTTTCATCAGTAGTCATTTTCTAGCTCTTGGTGCATAGCAAGTAGTTGTGAAGACCATCACCTGAATCAGGCGTACCTCAGTCTCTAGATTGATATTGTTGCTCTTTAGCACTCAAGTGCTATAGCTCATTTCCACAAACACTTAACATCTTACATAGCACCAATCTCAAACCACTGGTTGGCTCTTTCGTGAATCCTATTCAAGGGCCTTTGCTTACAGAGGTCCCCTAAGGTGTAGGCCCTTTCAGATAAGGTACAAAGCAGGTACTTGTGAACAGCATGACTTCAGTGGGTCTAAGCATATAGTATCCACCTATATGTGTCTGTAACTGCCAACTGGGACTATTGCTAAAAACTGCTCTACTATTTACACAGAGCTGCAAAGCTTTTTTCCTAAATGCTCCTTAGCCACCTGAAGGAAATGAGTCTAGAGACCTTGTTTCCTGAGGCATGGGCACACACATCTGTTCTCTGCCTGAACATGTACATTTTAGGATAGCATAAAAACACTGACCCTTCCCAGTCCTACATCGGTGTCTTTGTGACCTGTGGGAATACTGTGCACCAAACAGGCTGATAAAATCAGGCATTCATCAGACAGCTCTCCCCGAAGCCAGAAGGTGGCTTAGAGAGGGCCAGGTAACTATGGGAAGATGATCACCTTGACACTCCCCTGGAGGCAGTGTTCCAGGTCCCTGCCAGAAGGATCATCTGTGAAGAGGGAAAAGCCAGAGTGGGAGGACTTTCTCATGCCGGTTTCCTGGTTCAGCCGCTGGAGGAACTCATCAACTGTGGAAGAGCCATCAAAACCAACCACCTGAGGAGAGAGAGGTGTCCTGTCCCAGAGTGAACTTAAGCGCTCACTAGGGACTGTGAAGGGAGGTGGGAGGAGCTGGTTCAACAGAGAAGGGGAATCCAGAGGCCAGAGAAAGTTGGTTTTCATATTCAGAGGGCAAGCACTGAATCTGTCCCTTATAAACCAGAATTGGGCAAAGAGGATTATTCTATCCAGGCTTTTGGATGCCCACAGTTGTGACATTTTTTTTGATAGTTTCTCAGCTCCTCTGTTTATGCAGTGGATTCAAAAGATCTTATTTCCAGGGCACCAAATAGAATACTACAAACTCCTTTCTCCCACACTGGCACTATACCCACCCCCAGCCTGACTCTTTTTCTCATTTGCCTGTTAAGATCCCACCAATGTCAAAGGTGCAAGTGATCATCTGGGGCTGAGATGTGAGAATTGGGCAGGGGACATCCCTGGGGCCTCACCTGGTAAGTCCCATTGGCAAAGTGCACAGGGATGCTGAAGGGCAGAGAGTGGTGGAAAGGGTTGCGAAGCAAGATGGACACCACTTCCATGCGGGATGGCCTGGCTACCCGCTCTCCAGTCTGCAAGGTCCGCTCTACTGCCCGTTGGCAGTAAGTGGCATACTGTCCAGTCTCATTCCTGAAAAAAAAAAAAGAAGGGGAATATTAGGTACGCCAATCGTCTTGCCAGAGATCATTCAGATTATGTTAAGACCAGGCAATATTTTAAAAATCACCATGAATCAGAGCCAACTCAACAACAACTAATAGTTACACTTTCCATGAGAGCACACACAACAGCCAGAGATAGGTGGATTGGTATGCTGAGAAGGTCATGCATGCATGTCTCGATCTTTACGTACTAACCAACAAATCTTAAGAGGCTAAGGGTGATTATGAAACTTTACTCATTTTGCTGACCTCCCCCACAGTGTTTAATCACACCAGTTGGTCATTTTTAAAGTAGAGGAAATAACGCTCACTCACCGGGGGTCTGCATGACGTTGGAGCTGCTGTTTAACATACCAGAGGAAATGATGCTGAGGCAGGAAGAGGGGGGCACACAGAGCCAGGAGCTGCCAGCACTGTGGGGGAAATGTATTGTGGGGTGAGGGCTGGGTCTGCAGCAGCACCTGTCCTCACAGTTGTGTGCTGCAAGGCGTTCAGAATTCCTTCCCCAAACCAGAACCCCCAAACAGCTGTGGGTACCAGGAATGGCAAACAGCCTTTGCCCAGAAAAGCAACCATTATCATATGACTGTATGGAGTTCCAGGGAAGACACTGAAGCAGCTTTGAGCCCTATGGTAGCCCAATGGCTAGCTCAAAATCTGGAAATAAGGGCCAGTCAATGTCTTCTATCTCCACCTCTTGGATAACATTTGCCAGTGGCTGTTAGGGCTCTGCCCTTAGAGATGCCCACCTACCTGCATGAGGGAGTACTTCTGAGGTGGGCGACAGCTAGTTTGCTTCATGAGTTGGCAGTAGATCTCACTCTGCAGCTCGGGGTGCACCAGGCACACCTGCAGAGCCGTCTGGGCCAGGGACACATGGTAATCCACTGAGGCGGCTTCCACAGGCACGTTGATGAAGAGTTGGCAGGACTGGGGGTGGGGGGGAACAGAATGGTGGGGAAAGGAAGGTTGAAGGCCCCTTGATTACTGCATTCTCTGTAACAGTGTAACAACCCAGCAGAGACATGAACAGTCTGGGCCGTTCCCCTAGGAGTTCTGGGAAACTCAAGTTCACAGGCTTTGCTTGCTGAGCAGTATGTTGGAGTAGAGACCTTGATTAAGAAAGACTTCATTTAAAAAAGGAGAAAAGTCAAACAGACACAAGTAATATTCTAAAGGAGGTTGTGCAGGAATGACATACATCTAGCCTTTCCTGTTAACTACAGGAGGAGGAGGCCTCCTCTAGGAAGTTTTCATTGGTGCTTTCTAAGAACACGAATAATGTCCCAGAGTTTCTTCCCTCCCTGCAGCTCTTTTCGGGGCGAGAGGATTACATTCCTGACATAAAGCAGTGGGCACCCGGAGGGATGGATTTTGCTCTTCAGACTCCTCTGTGGGCTACCCTCAATTGCATGGGCCTCCTTCCCCTGCATGTAAGCAGGGAAGCATGAGCTGCCTGGTCGGTGCCTTGGGCACATGGTATGGGCCCACCAGCTAGTGGGTCTACGCTCCACTCACTTTACCTTGAAGAGTTTCAGGGCTTCTGTCTGCAGGGCTTCCGAGGGCAAGGTGGTAAGGGAGGTGAACAGCCCATCTCTGCTGTAGCACAGCATGGGGTGCTTCCAGAGGGGGGAATCTGCACAGCACCAAAGGGGCAGCAGTTAGCACTGATGAGGAAACGCACCCCCACCTGTTACTGTTGTTGAGTTCTGTAGAGTTGGAATACTCATAGTCGATCATCCAGCAGGTTTTCAGAGGCAGTTCTTCACACTGGAGGACAGCACTCATCTTTCTCCTGTGGAGCAGCTGGTGGATTCAAACTTTGTGCCTTTGGGTTAGCAGCACAATTCCTTACCACTAAGCCACCAGTGCTAACCCCTCTTTAATCCATGGAGAAGCTCACTGTTTTGACTGGATTTAGTTGTGAGCTGTGATTTGCACACTTAGAAACATGACTGCACAGGAAGGTGGCTACAGCTTTACTCATGGGATAGAGGTGCGTGTGCAAGGCTGTGGGTGCTGATGAACGAGTGTGTGTGCAGGGCTGGCTGATGGAGTGGAGGTATCAGCTAGAAATAAGCCTCAGAGCAGCAGAAAGGGGCATATGTACTTTCAGTTAGTTCCCAAGGACCTTGGCTATCAACAAAGTGAAGGCCCTACCCACTTTACCCTCCAACAAACAAAACATCCTAGGCTAACCTGGTTCCAGTTCATGCTTTATATGTTGATTAACTATAGATTAACCAACTGTTGTCTTTGCTTAACCCTCTCCTCAGCCACTGAAACTACATGTAGGAGAGAATAAAACAATAACCCAGGCCACTGGAAGTTCAGTTTCCCAGATGATCCTCCCCTGTCTCCCTCATACAAAGAATGGTCACCCCAGTATCCTGACCGAGACATAGGAACCCTGGAGATTAGGATGGGAACTTCCTTCTGTAGTTCAGCTATTTTAAAAACAGCTTCAAAGGGATCTCGTGGTTTAAGCACTTTGCTGCCAAACAGAAGTTTAATGGTTTGAATCCACCAGCGTCTCCACAAGAGAAAAGATCTGGTGATCTATTCCCATAAAGGTTACGTTCTGGTAAATAAGATGAGGTAGCTTTATTCTGTCGCACAGGTAACTGTGATGCAGAATTGACTTGAAGGCACATAACGTTTATGTTAATGGTAAACTCATTTCCACCTCATGGTGCATCAGCAGATAGTATTTGAGAAAAGCACTTTATTTTATATCCATTCCCCCTATCCCTCAAAAAACCCCCAACAGCTGCAGAGTACAAACAGTGCTTTCTTAGAATTCTTCCCAGTAAATAATCCCCTAGCCACCACCCTTCAGTCAGAGCAGTGATGGCCACTCTTGCCTTACCTGGATCTCCCTCCCCGTCCATCAGTTTTCCAATGAGCTGCTCATAGGTAGTGCCTACTTTGGCACTGCTGCCACCTGAAGCCACTGTGAGGTGATAAAGCCACGTATCCTGAAAGAGAGCAGAAAGCCACTGAGGAGGTGGGAGTGGAAGCAGTAGGGGCAATAGTTCTGATAAGTTTCCTTGAAGGGGCCAAGCCCATGGTAGGGTCCAGCTGGTTAGCTGGCACAGAAAAAAGCTTACTAGTTTGTAAGAAAGACGTGGAGTCAGCTGAACCTGAATCCAAATTTCCAAGCTTCTGGTTCTGTGTTAATTACTGGGAATGAATTAAATAAGCAGATATTCCCTTTCAGACATGTCATGGAGTCAGAACGACTCATAGCTGACCTTCCACTGGGTTTTCAAAGTCTGTTTATCACACAGGAGGAGACTGTCCTTTTTCCTGTGGAGTGGCTCGTGGATTTGAACTACCAGTGAAGTGCCACCTTCGGGTCAGCAGTACAATTCCCTAAGAGATAGCCCACCGGAGCCCCTTTTTCAGAGGACACTCCTCATTGGCAAAGTGTCTAAGAAGGAAATAATCTCAAAATTTTGGAAGCTCTGGTGTGAAAGAGAAGCTGGTATCTTAAGTCCAAGTTTTCCCATGAGGCGTAGGCCCTCCTTACCTTTTCATGCTTGGTGCCAATCAAGAGGTAGGTGGGGCTATGCTCTGGGGGGTGGATCACCAAGGTACAGTGAGAGGAAAGTAGCCGCCCAGTTCCTCCAGCCTCATAGTCCTCATCTGAGTCACAGGATCGATCTACTTCCTCTATACGTGCGTCTCGCATGGGCAGGCGCCCCAGGGGTCGCTGCAGACAGGAATCTTCCATGAGTGAGAGAGCAGTGGGGGGTAAACTCTTAGGCTGTGTAGGGCTGGGAATCATGGAAGTAGGCAGGATGACGGGGGTGGGGGGGGTGGTACGGGGGACAGGAAGACTGTGGCAGTCAGAGGCTTGTTTAGGTCATGCAGCACAGATTGCCTGAACAAGCAGTGTTCAGAATGTGCACTCAGGTGGGATCCTGCCAGCTGCCTTTAGTACTTGATGAGAGTTAAGGTAGAGGACTGTAAAGTTGGGGACCCCCATCAGTTTATGGTCTTGTATTGTAGTTTGGAGGGTGCAGGAGAATAGGAGCTGTTGGAAGTCTTCACCCAAATCCTAGGAAGTACCTTGTCCTCATGGCTCCGATAGTAGTAAAAGGTTTTCCCAATGAGAGCACACCACACCAGCTTGGAGTGTCCATGCTTTACCTGTAGGACCAAATGAACTAGCATTATCAGAACTCGGGGGGGAAAAATTCAGGGCTGGCAAAGGAAAGTCTCAAAGATATTAGAGTCAACCTTAGGTCTTTAGTGGGGGGCCACCTCTGTCAGAGAGGGTGCTTTGCTGCAAGCCGTGTGAAACTCACTGAGCTGAACTGCTGCTCAGTGACCTAGGATATGCCATTAAAGGATTCATGAGATTTCCCTTCCCAGGAATATGATCTACAAAACGTAGATCACAGGAGGTATAAGGAAACCATGAGGATGGTAAGCTGGGACAAATTGAAGCCTGTGGGCAGTACACATCATGAGGAAACAGAAACTGCTCCTGGCAGCGGTGCTGACATACACACAGAATGGAGCAGCAGAACCAGGGAGAGTCTGTGAGCCCCGCTCTTGCTCCTCTAAGCTGCTTTGGTTCCTGAAGGCTTTCAAGTCTATCTAATATGATTTCATGTCACCACAACAAGATAAAGGTAAATAATCCAATAGAAAAATGGGCACAGGATATGAACAGGCACTTCACCGAAGACGACATTCAGATGGCTAACAAGCACATGAAGAAATGCTCAAAATCCCTAGCCCTAAGAGAGATGCAAATTAAAACAACTATAAGATATCATCTCACCCCAGTCAGAATAGCAAAATTTAACAGAACAGCAAGCAACAAATGCTGGCGAGGTTGTGGAGAAACTGGAACCCTGATTCACTGTTGGTGGGAGTGTAAAATGGTGCAACCCCTGTGGAAAGCAGTATGGTGCTTTCTCAAAAAGTTGCAAATAGAGATACCATTTGACCCAGCAATTCCACTACTGGGAATATACCCTGAAGAGACCATAGCTGACATCCAAGCAGATATATGCACACCCATGTTTATTGCAGCTTTGTTCACAATAGCAAGGAGTTGGAAACAACCTAAGTGCCCATCAACAAACGAATGGCTAGAGAAGCTGTGGTATATTCGCACAATGGAATACTATGCTGCATTAAAAAACAAGGAACTCATGCAATATTATTCAAAATGGTTGACTCTGGAGAACATTATGCTGAGTGAAATATCCCAGTCACAAAAGGACAAATATTACATGATGCCACTGATGTAGAATGGGACTAACCTCGGGGTTGGGGAGAGACTGAGTAAGATGGGTTCAATAACGTATACTGCACTGAAACAGAGGAGGGAGAAAAGTGTTTAAAAGAGATACATGACTAGGTACTTCTGTCATCACAGGAGTCTAGAGCGAGGGCTACATGGTGGAGGGGACCTGGGGGAGGGTTTGTAAAACAATGAAAGAATCCTTTCTTTTACTTTTCCATAATTTTTGGACTCATGTACTTATAACTTGTTAGTCAAATTTGTGTCTTCTAGGTTGCAACACCCCCATGATACATCTTCAAGGATATGAACATGTACAGCCAAGCACAATCAATAAGAGGGTATCTAAATTCCAAAATCAATCTCCATAATAGTCTATGTGTTTCCTACTGCCAAAGGGGCCCTTTAGAGTAGTGAGAGAAGATCTTCACCCTGAAACCCACAGCGTCCCTTTTCAGCAGGAAGTAGCTAAGAGAATACGCCATCCCCTTTTCCTTATGACTCAGGGTGAAGTCTCTCTCAGGGAGGAGTGATAGGGAATGGCAAAGGACACACTGACAAAGAAGATTAATCAGAACTGGCTTTGACAAGCACTGTGGCATTTGGACAAGAACAAACTGGGAGGAGGGTAGAGAGAATAGTGCAACAATGAATGAATGGAAACCCAAAATCTCTGTAAATGTTTATGAAAATTAATAAAATATAGAAAGAAAAAAAATGCTTTCATGTAATGTCCCTTCTCTGCGCTTTACAACCAGAAGACCCCCAACCAATATATTTAAGATAGGCCTCTCAGCACTGGACTATCCATGGTAACTATGAACCTTTGAATGGCCATGTCTACCTCACCTAGGCTTTTGTTTCTCATGGCAAGAAGCTATGCTGCAATTGCCAAGGCACTCCATTTGAGGCCACCAGCTGCTCCGTGGGAGAAGGATGGGCAATCTCCTCCCGTGTGATTAACTGTCCAGAAAACACACCCGAGGGTCAGCTATGAGTTGGTTCCAACTCAATGGTACACAAGAACATTAATGGTAAAAGGAGCCCTGGTGGTTCAGTGGCTAAACATTGAACTTCTGTCTGGAAGGTTAGTGGTTCTAGCCCACTAGCTATTCCTTTGGAGAAATTCCTTAAGAGAAAAGTGACTCTGCTTCCATAAAGATTATAGCCTTGGAACCCCTATGGGGCAGTTCTACTCTTTCCAGAGGGGGGTTATGAATTGAAATTGACTCTGTGGCAACAATTTTGGTGTTAGTGTTTTAGTTTTTTGTTTTTTTAAACTGAAGTTTGTTAGGGAACAAAGCAAGGTTGGGAGCACCCTCTAAAGACTTAAAAATGGGGACAAGCCATCCTTTCCCTCCTTTGTCTTAAGTATAGCTGTTGCTCTAACAGCCCTAAGTGCAGTTCTCAAGGAATCATTCATCATCAACTTGTGCAGTCAGACCATGTTTGAGGACCAATCTCTAGCCAGTGAGGAAGTTCCTGGAGCAAAGTGCTGTATCTGAAAGTGTGTGTTGATGTGTACCGTAGAGTCAAAACCAACCCATAGCTGACCCTCCAGTGGGTTTTCAGAGGCAATTAACTGCATGGTAGGAGATTGCCCATCCTTCTCCCGCAGAGCAGCTGGTGGCCTTGAACCATATGCATTTGGTATTGCAGTGCAGCTTCCTGCCACTAGGCCACCAGAGCATTAATGGCTTCCTGACCCTCAGGAGACCCTTTCCGCATACCTTGGTCAGCCAGCCCTTCACAGTGGGCTTGGTGCCACCCTGAGGCAGGGCTGGAGGCCCAATGGCCTGGACTTTAAGCAGGCTTTGCAGTACACGGATCCATTCTTCCAGCAAGTTAGGTGAATCGGCCGTCAGGTAGTAGGTTTTCTTCTCAGAGATGAGCTGTGAGACAGTGAAGGGTTAGGATCAGAGGCAAGGAGAAAGGAAAAAGGAAAAAGAATGGAGACATGGCTGTAAGCTAAGACAAATCTCTGAACCCCCTGGCCTTTCCTACCAAGTTATTCCCTCCTTTTTCTCCATTCCTTCTCTCACATTCTGCCTCCTTTTCTTCCTATCTAATACTCAGCCAAATGCTGATGCTGCCTGTCTTTCATCCATGCTTACACTGCTCCGTCTTGTCTACTTCACAGCCATATCCAAACCAACAGCCCTTGACTAGGGGGTTAATATAAATGCTCCTGGCATTTTCTATTGTGTAAAATATAAAATGCTGGGAGGTTATTTACCTGGAATGTCTGTGAGCCCTCCCCGCGAACAATTTGGCAATGAGAGTTCAGCTCCACTTGACCTTGAGGCTTCCGGATGACATCATTCTATGTGAAAAAAAGAAGCAGGGAGGAAAGAGGTTGGAGTGTGGTCACCTCCCAGAGTAGCATCATTTGCCCTCACATCTTATTCCAGGTCACAGAAAAAGGAGGGTGTGATTAACAAGGTTTTCAGGGCTAGGTATGATGGGGGTAAACTGTTCCGGTTCCTAGTCTTTACTAAAAAGAGCAATGATTAGGGCCTTGGGTCCTTCTGACTCAGGTTCCCAAAAAGAGCGAGGACAGCTGTCTGAGCTGTAAAGCTCAGCTGTAAAGAAATTCTTTCTACTTATACTGAGAATCACAAATAAGAGGCATATGTATTACCATTACCGTTCTAATGTACTGCAGACATACAGCCTGCTTTCCCACTGGGTGATACAGCCCCAGAATCCTTAACATGGTTTTCCAGGAGCCACTACCAATCAACTTTAGCTACATAACAGACAATGCCTTTCTCTCTCTTTTTAAACATTCAAACTGACTGTCAGGGAGGACCAGTCATACTAAGTCTCTGTATTCTCCCTAATTCCAAACAGTTCCATCTAGGGGAGGAGGCAAATAACTCTACTATTTATTAGGACAATTCCAGATGACATGAGGGAAAACGGCTTCTGAAGAAGGTATCACCAGGTCAAGAGGTCTAGGAATTATCTTTGAACAAAGCTGCCAAGCGGCCTAGGAACTTTGCCCAAAGCTGTGTCTGGGCTGAGCCATGCCGATTTTCTCACTTATTTCATTGTGGAATTAGTTACCAGCCTCTGGCTGGTGTCCCTACTTGGGGTTGGTTCCATGCCTCAGGTGCACAGCCAAGCTGCCTCTCCCCATCTGCCCGCACTCTGCCCTCTGGCCTTGGGCCGTCTGCAATACCACTCACACAGTTCTGGGTCTAGTAGAGGATCCTTGTAACTACTGTCCTGGGGGAGGAGAGTCTCACCGGTGACTTGTAGTACATAATCTGTCCCTGTCTCAGGACAAACCAGCGCCTCTTCCACGTCTTCACTCGGCTCCCCATTTTTAGAAGGTAGCCTGACTTCTCCAGTGACTCCTGCAGGGGTGCAAGGGTGGAGGGGAGAAGGGCGGACAGAAGGAGTTATTACAGGGGGCTCCTGGGTATCACATGGCCAAAATAGTCCACTTGAGTGCCTGCTTTGCCATCAATGAAAAAACCTACCACGTATATTTTCAGAGCACCATGTCCTGCTAAGGGCTCAGAGAAAACAAAGGCACGGATGTATCTACTGATTGGGTAAGACAACACCTCACCATGAAAAGATGGCCCAGGAGGGGCTGTAGGAGGGAGAGGCAGGCCAGGGGAAGCTTCAGGAAAGAGCAGACCTGAACTGCCTTTGAAAGAAATGTCAGTCTCAGACAAGCCAAGAGAAGGCTGTTCCAGGCAGCACACAGGGGAAGGCGGATAAGGCAGGCTTGAGAAGAGGAAGACAAAGAGGCACAGTGGTGTAGAACAAGGGCTTGGGAATGACTATACTGTCTGGCACACAATAGTCTGTCTTAGATGATCAGATCCTGGGGCTCGTAAAGTGGGATGGTATTCCTTAGCAGGTGAGGGCAAATGAGACAAGCCCTGTGAAGCACTGAGCACGGTGGCTGACACACTGTAAGCGCTCAACCAATGTGAGCTCTTGCCAGCACTGCCCAGCTGCTGTGTGGATAATGCCTGGTGGGGCCTGGTGGGACTTGGTGGACCATGGCAGCTGGTCCTGGTAGGCTCCCTGTTGGTCCTTCCTCATGGGGTCTGTGCATGCCTGACTCCACAACTGCACAACCCCCAGCACTCCCCATGGCTTCACCTCAGCTCCCATGCTCCCTCCCTTCACCTATTCCAGGACCCTCGGTTTCTCACAGCTGCTGTCCGCTGCCTGTATGTGTCCAGTGCTGAGGACAAAGAAGTCCCCTCTCCGTCTGCTGAAGGTCTGCTCCTACCTCCTGTCCCCCACCTCCACACTCCCAGCTTACCCCGCCGAGGCCCAGCCCGTCGATGGAGTAAGTTGAGGTGCGCTGTAGCTTGTGCTCGGGCTCTGAGTAGTCACTATCCAATGAGCAGGCATCTGGGGGGATGGCATAGTCACCCTCGGAGCTCAGTGAGGACATGGAGACACCTGATGAGGAGAAAAGTCAAGGTCCTAGGTCCCATTCAATCCAGTCTGGTGCAGCCCAGGAGTTACAGAACCTTCACCACCCACCCAGGGACTCCGAGGGCTGGAGCACTGGAGGTCTGGGCACAGAGCAAGCAGGGACCCCTGTGTACAACCACCTGTGGAGGAGGTGAGGAGCCCTTTGCTGCCCAGTCCTCTTCTTGCTCGCCTTCTCCTACCTCTCTTGATGGCCCGGGGACTACCCAGTCCACTGGTCTTCCTGGACTCGGAGCACGGGAATGAAGTTCGGAAACTCGCCTGAGAGCTACAGTCGTCATCAGACCCTGAAGACTCGTCCACGAAGGGCATGCTGCTGATCTGTGTGGCTTTCTGAAAAACAGACCCCTTTCCTGCTGCAGCTGGGCTGTTAAACAAGGCCCATCCCGCCCTGTGGCTGTGCCCAAGCCGAGATTCCAAAGATTTGGCCATCACAGCCTCTCTAGGGTAACATCAATGCCCTGACCCAGTCTGGCATAGATAGTAACTGCTCCAGAGAGTTCTAGAAAAGAAGCTGTGCTTGTAATCAAAAGAGAAGTGGTTCGAATCCACCAGCTCCTCCACTGGAGGGTCCGCTATGGGTTGGTTCTTGATTCGATGGCACACAACTCATAGTGAAGCCTCAAAATTCAAAGCAGTTGCCGGTTTGGAACATTAATTTTCTAATGAAGAGCTCTAGAAGATTTCTGTGTCCTCCTTCCATACCTCTCCGTGGGCCACCACCCACCCTCTTCTGTGATCCCTAGAGGAGCTATTCCATCCAGCCTGCTGTAACTCTTCCTGTCACTGTGTGCTGTCGCGTTAGAACACAGCTGACCCTCTAACGGGTTTTCAGAGGCAGTTCAATTACACAGGAGAGTGCTCATCCTTCTCCTGTTCTCTGCCACTAGGGGGCCAGGAAGTCATGCTGAAGGCCAACCGTGAAAAAGAAGTTTTTTAAAAACCGTGGGGCACTGAGACAATAAAAAATCATTTCAGTTAGAAGACTGATGATTCTCAGTGTTGGTGAGTACGAGAAAAAGGATACTCTGCAGTGTGATAAAGCCATTTTGGAAGACAATTTGGCAATCCCTACCAAAATCTAAAACATGTACACGAATAGCTGTACTACCTGACGAATGCAGTCAGTTTCACTAAATTATACATGCAAAGTATTGAGGTTGTGCATAGTTTTGGTGTTTGTTTTTTTTTTAAATAGTTCTAGTTGTAACACCTTTTATCTCACAAGAGGAAAGGGTAAGAAATAAAGGAAAGACAAGAACCTAAGTAACACCAAGAAATAAGACCAGGAGCAGACACATCCTTTAGATTAAGGTCCCTGTGCTGAGAAAATCCTCAATCAGAGAAAGACCAAGACATATGGAGTTCTTCAAGGAATGTTGGGCCTACAGAAGCTGCAGGAAACAAGGACCTCCTTTCAGAACTCATATTGAAAGAAAGCCTTCCCCTACAATTGGCGCCCTGAATTCAGATTTCTAGCCTAAATTTGGAGAAAATAAACCTGTTTGTTAAAGCTAAAAAACAAAAATTTTGTTTTAACAGGAGGAAAGAAAAAATATTTTTTAAAAGAACATGCATATAATTAACTTAAAGAATTGCACTTCTAGTACTCACTCTTAGGAGTATACATAAGAAACTCACCCTAAAGAAAATATGTATACATAAGGAAAAAATATGAGAAGGATGGGCAACTTCCTCCTGTGCGATTAACTGCCTCTGGAAATGTGCTGGAGAGTCAGCTATGGGTTGGCTCCAACTTAATGGTACATAACAACAACAACAAAAATATTTAATATTAACCTAAGTATTTTATATGGATATATAATAATACATCTAGCTACATAATGATATTCACCCAACATTATTTTAGAGAAAAGCAGGGACATGAAATGAGTGACAATCAGGAAGCAACGATTAAGGACCACTATAGTACAAGTTGTAAAGGATCACACTATAAAGATACTGAGCAGTGTGTGAAGTCATACTCAAGGGATGGCTTGGCATATGACTGAGTGAGGGATACGATACAGTCTGACCCCTTTTCTGTAGTGTGTCTATATTTCAGACAAAAAAAGAGGAGGAAAGAGAAAAAAAAGGAAAGGGAGTTTATTTGTAAATGAATCAGAAGTTTTTACAGAACAAAATACTAAAATTATTAACGATAGTTGCCTCCAGGGGCAGAAATTAGAGAGAAGCAAGGTGAAATTTCATTTTTGGCTTTCTATTCTACTGTGACAACCTTTAATGAATATTATAATACTAACAGGGAAAAATTTATGTGAAAACATGTTGTAACACATGCTTATATCTGATTTTTGTTTAAAAAGAGAGCTGTGTATGGGAGTATATATGGGTTTATGTTTGAACACATAAAAAAAATAAGCTAAACACATAAAAAATAGCTGTAAGGAGTCCCACCGCTCTCAGGGGCCAGGGAAGTAGGACAGATAGAGAAGGTGGAGATGGGAATGGTAGAACAGGCATATATAGATTTAACGTTTAACTTTTCACTTGTCCACATTCATGTTGATTTTTCAAATTTTCATACGTATATATATTTTGTAAACATGCAATTTTTAAAATGAACAATAAAAAGAAAATGAAATCCATGTGGTTCGAGCTCTTATCCTAGGCCCATGTGTGTGCAGAAGCTGACCTGAGGGACTCGCCCTCTTTCCTCCCCCAGGGGGCCACCCTGCTTGGGACCACAGCCTTACCCCTTTCAAGGCTGTGTAGACAGGCACAGTGATGTTCTTGTAGACAAGGCCAGAGAAAGGCCCCGGGGACGCGAGGGCAGGAGGGCTTGAAGCTAGGGTGGGGAAAAGAAGGACGAGATGAATTCACTCCCCAATCAGGGATATGCAGGAGGGAGAGAACTGGGCAAGGTGAGGCAATCAGTGTTTCCCTTAAAAAGTGCTCAAGGAGGAGAGGGAGTGGCAGAGCTCTGATGGGACAGGGCCTTTTTCAGCTTCTGTTCTTTTGACTACCTTTGGGAGGCCCTTATCTTATTGCATTAATTGGCAATTTACAACAGAATCCAAAAACCTTTCCCTGTAACCATTTTTCTCTGTAACCCTGTAAGAGAGGTGTGAGGCTTGCATTCAGATCCACTTTGGCCAGAGTGAATTGTGTTTAATGCAAGTGTAGGGATTCTGTGGCTGACCCGTGGGCCAGCATGGAAGCAGCTCTGTTAGGGGGCAACTCCCATCCATAACCCTTGTGTTACTGAAGGGATCCTGTGCAGGTGACAGGCTGGCACTAAGATGCCTTCCAGCTCAGTGATTGGCTACTGTCCTCACATACATTTGGCAGGAAATGAATTAACTGAATCTACACAACTTCCTTTTCCTGTCATGGGCCCTTGTATGGTTTGACTGCTTGAGGAAGGGAATCAGGTGCTAGATGATCCTGTCCGTGGATGTTTCTCAGGGAAGAATTCTCCTCCCAGCCCCAATCTGCCACCACAGGCATCCACTCCCTTAGCACCTTCCTTGGAACTCACCGTAGTTGGCAGTATTGCTCCTGGGTGTTACTCCTGAATCTGAAAGCTGCATGCCTGAAGTGGCCACAGCGTAGATCCGGCTCTCCTGGAATGAGAGGTTCTGTGGAGTCAGGTACTCTACAGAGCCCACCACTGTGCCCAACCACACACTCCTGAGGTATGGATGAAAAGCATGGAGTCAGTAGACCTGGGCCCCATGCAGGCACAGCCAATTTCTAACTGAGAAACCTTGGACATGTTAAGTCATTTCTAAGCCTCATTTTCCGTGCTTGAGTAGTAATGGGTGTGCTGGTTGCAGAATTCCCAACACGACCACTTATCTGTCAGTTTGCTATATAGTGGTGGTTTGCGTGTTGCTATTCCACCAGTATTTCAAATCCAGCAGGGTCACTCATGGTAGACAGGTTTCAGTAGAGCTTCCAGGCTAAGGCTGACTAAGAAGCAGGACAGGCTACCCACTTTGAAATAGCAGGCTTTGAAAACCCTATGGATAAAGGAAGAACATTATTGGATAAAGTCTGGAAGATGCAATCCTCAGGTTGCTGGGCATTCAAAATGCAACGTAGGAAGAGTTGCTTCTGAAAAAAAATAGAGGCTACCAGGATGGTGCAGATGCAGTAAAGCTTTCACCCAGTGAACCTTCCTTTGGTGATGTGAGAAAGACTCATAAGGAGGAGAAACAACTGTAAACATCCATTAATAACTGGAACATGGGATGTATGAAGTAGAAATATCAGAAAAACTGGAAGCTGTAAAAAATGAAATAGAATGCATAATGATTGACAACAGCGGCTTAGTGATTTGAGATGAACTGATACTGGCCATTCTGAACCAGACAATCATGATTTACGATTCCAGGAATGACAAACTGCAGAAGAATGTTGTTTCATTCAGCATCAAAAAGAACATTTCATAATCTCCTGTAGTATAAAGCTGTGAGTGACAGAATACTATCCATATACATACAAGAAAGATCTGTTACATACATTACTCAAATACAATGATCCCTAAATTGAAAGATTAAGAAGTTGAGGATTGCTACCAACTTTAGCAGTCTGAAATTGAGCAAATATTGTAGCCTTTATTGCATAATAAAGATGTATTAGTAATACTTGGTGACTGAAACGCAAAATTTGGACACGAAAAAGGAATAGTAGTTAGACAAAAGGGTTTTGATGTTGGAAATGAGGCTGGAGATCGTATGATAGAATTTTTATTTATTTTGATAGAATGAATGATTTATCTATTGCAAATACTTTTTCCCCCCACTTTTTAAGATGTGCACTTTTATTCAACTGGTCAAAAGTCAGTGTACAGGTAAAGCCCTGGCTGCCTCCACATCTCAGCCACCCCAGGGAGACCAAAAGCCTTCATATTTCTAGAGTTGAGGGAAAGGGCAAGGGCCCCC